TGGCTCTGGGGCTTCCACCTTTGCCATCCTGCCCGAGCACCCTCCTTGGCAGAGACATTTTACAGTCAGAGAGCTCAGGTGACCTCCAGCAGCCACCTGGCTCTGTCACCCTTCTTTGGCCTGGTCAGAGCAGGTGCCATGTTGCTTTGTCCCTTAAGGGCTCTGTCAGTCCTGAGACCCAGTACAAGGTCCAAATCCCCTCGGCCTCGGCTGCTCCTTCTCTAACTTCTAGACATTGCTCGAAGGCAGGGGGCTGCAGCCTGTGACCTTGTACAGATTCCTCTTGACCCCGAGATCCCGTGTCTGCCAGCCCAGCCAGGGGGCCCTGGGCAGGCCTCTGTGGAGGGCCTCCTTTTTCCACGTGCACTGGCCCACCCAGAGAGAAAGGAGAACATCGCCAGGGTTGGGCGATTCCTGGAAAGCAGCGTCTTTGGAGCCCTTGGCCTGTCCGGTGCTGGAGTCCAAGCGGCCGAGGTCCGCCCCTTCGGCACTCATCGCCGCAAGGAGTCTGGGAAGATCCCAGGTCTTGTTTGTCTTTTCGTAGGGTGTGAAAGGGATCCTCCCAGTGGTTTGTTTCTCTTCCAAGAGAACTGTGTTTTCTTGGCAGTGGTGTCTGTGTTCATGTCAAGCCACACGGTTCCCAGGCACTTGAACTGTGGGTTACCACTGGGGCCAAATGTTGGGCGAGAGAGGAGCAATACGCAGATGTGTGCCCCCGTCACTCCAATCAAATGTGCCAAGTCCTAAAATCAAGGCTACAGAGTGGGAGAATTGTAGCAGGAAGAGGAAGAGAAGTCCAGCTAGAGAGCTGGAGGGATAGAAAAACAGACACTAAGATTTACTGAATTCTGTGCAGGCACTGTGCTAAGTACTTGGCAGATATCTCACCAAATTTTCACAGTAACCCTCTTAAATAAAGACAATGACTATGTGTTTACAGGTGATTAAACTGAAGCCCAGAGACGTAAAGTAACTGGCCAGAGGTCACACAGCCTGAATTTAAACTTAGGGCTTCATCTGAAGGGGCCTTAAAGGATGGGGAGAACTTTATTCCTAGAAGTTTACTATAAAAAAATTTAAACATACACAAGAGTTGAAAGAATTTTGCAGTAAACACCCACATACCCACCGCTGGCCCTAAATATTTCTCTATATTTGCTTTTTACGTAGTTTTATCCGTCCATGAGTGCACCTTACTTTTTTATGCATTTCAAAGACAGTTGCAGAACCCCCTGACTATGTTAGCATGCATATCATTAACTAGAGTTCAGTATTTAGTTATGGTTCTTTTTTATTGCTGGGATGTAAAAGTTACATGTGATAGAAGTAAACACACATATCTAAATGTACCATTTGAACTTCATTTAGATGGATTCACCCAGTATGTACTTTCCTGCATCAGGCTTCTTTGACTCAGCATAATGATTCTGAGATTCATCCATGAGGTTGTGCATATCATTCGTTCCTTTCCATTGCTGACTGCCTTTCTGTTGTGTGGACATACCATGGTCTGTCTCTCCATTCTCCCGATGGTGGACACCAGGACCAGGTGCCGTGGAGCGATTATGAGTAAAGCTGCCATGACCTTTCATGTACGAGTCTTTTTGGGGACATACACTTTCATTTCTCTCGGGTATATATACCTCGGAGTGGAATGGCTGGGGCATAGCATAGGTGTATGTTTAGGTTTATTTAAAAAAGTTCCATATCTTTTTCCAAAGTAGTCATACTGATTTATTTTCTCACCAAGAATCTATGAGAGTTCTGATTATTCACCAACATGTGATGTTGTCAGTCTTTTTAATTTTAGCCATTCTAGCGGTTGTGCCGTGGCATCACATTGCGGTTTTAATTTGCATTTCCATAGTGACTAATATTTTGAGCACTTTTTCACCTTGTTGGCCGTTTGTATGTCTTCTTCTTTGAAGTATCTGCTCAAAATCTTTTGCCCATTTTAAAAATTGATTTGCTTGTTCTCTGTAGAGATGTGTTTTGTAAATGGTTTCCCCCCAGCCTGATGGGCAGACGTTTTAAATTTTGGTGTAGTCTGATTTATCTGTGTTTTTCTTTTATGGTAATTGCTGTCTGAGTCTGGTCCAATACTTTTGCCTACCCATTGGAGACTCCTGGGAGGAAGAAATAGAGACTCTGAAGGAACCATGGGTGGCTGGAGCAGCTTGAGCACGTGCAGGTTTCGTTGGGGTGAAGGAGACCAGCCCTTGTAGGGGGCGTCTGTAGGGGAGAAGGCCCAGAAAGGGAATGCCGTAAATATCTGTGGGAAGATCTGTTGCAGGTTGCAGAGCAGGGAAGGGATGTGATCATAAGAGAGTGAGATGGCACAGTCGTGTGATGCTGGTGCCTGGGGCAGAGTTTCCACTTGGTCACCCTGTGAGAAGCAGCCTCATGCCTGAAGATGCAGGTGGTGCTGCAGGGTGGAGAAGAGAGTTTATCTCTGTGGATCTTCACAGACTCTCTGTGGGCCCAGAGCCCACCCAGGTCCCACCAGGTCTTCATGCGCCCATTTCTTCTTGCCTAGGAAGGCAGGGGGCTGGTCCAGGCGAGCAGCTAGCCAGAAGCCAGCCCCTTCCCTCAGCCCTGGGGAATTGCTTATATACGTGGATCTAGAGCCAGCTCCCCCAGGGGCTCTAGCATGCTCCCGGGACCCTCACCCGGCTGTCCTCTGACCTCGCCTCCTCCCACTCTCACCCTCCTCACCCTCCCCGCCTCCTCACTTTCCCCCAGAAGCAGGAACTCAAGGCTTTGGAATTTGCTCTTCCTTCTGCCTGGAAATCTCTTCTCCTGGATGCAGACACCTGCATCCAGGTGTTTGCTCCGTGGCCATCTTTTCAGGGGGGCTTCCCTGGTTGCCCATTTCAGAACTGCAGGCCCCTCCCCGCAAGGCCCTTTCCTCTTCCTCTTGGCGGTGCCACCATCTAACATACACTAGTCACCCATTCACCCTGCTTATCGCCTGTCTCTGCTCTACAATGTAAACACCATGAAGGTTTCGGGGGTTTTTCCTTCTTTTTTTCCCTCTTTTGTGCGCCCCCCCAAAACCGCGCCACAGAACATGGGGCGCGCACACCCCCACAGACGACACGCGCCGCGCGTGACTGAGAGGCAAACTCCCCCGTGCCTCCCAGAGCCCATCTGTGCAGCCGCAGCTTTGGTTCTCCCGAGAAAATGGGCACGAGCCCAGGGCCCACCTGGGGCTACGCAGCAAACGGAGGACTCTCCCAGCCTACCCTCCCCCAGCCCGCATTGTACAGATGAGGAAACTGAGACCCTGAGAGGGACAGGACCCGGCCAAGGTCTCAGCCGTGGCTCCTGGCGGAGAGGAAGTGAGAGCCTGTTGCTCTCTCTCTCCCAGCTGCTCTTACGAATCCTAATTGGGCCCTGGGGGAGGCCCCAGGCCAAGCAAGGATGTTTAAGGATGATCATAAAGTGTTTTGGTGCCAGAAGATATTTTTGTGCTTCCAAGTGGGATTGGAGGAACCTGTGGCCCGAGAGCGCTGCTTTTCTGGGCGGTCCAGGCCTCCACCACTTTCACTTCCTTCCCAGAGGAGATGCTGGGAAGCAGTTACGTCAGCGTCAGTGGGGCCACCCTGGCCTTGAGCTCCAAATGAGACTGTTTGGCCCCATTCTGCAGCCTGTGGACAGCCACGCGGCTGCCCCACCCCTCCACCCCAGCCCTGGGACTCCTGCCATTTCCTGGGGGTCTCATGTTCTCCTGGTGACCCGGCGCTTTCCTCTGTATGGGCTGCAGGCATCATCCACATCTTCCTGGCTTTGTAAGTCCCCTCCTCTGTCTGATAAGGTTTTTCACCCCTGCAGATACCGAGAGAGACTCAGTCCCTCAGGTAGAATGCAAACAGACCTCACAGCCCACCTGACTCAGGATTTGAGGCACCAAGATGTCCTTCCTCCTTTCTGGAATCAAAACTAGCCTGCCAATGTGTGTGTGTTGGGGTGGGGCAGGGGAACGTGAGGGTCTTGGAGAGGGTCTGGGATCTCAAACTGGACAGAATTATGAACAGTGGGCAGTGCCCATTTTCCAGAGAACCCTCTAGTTTGGCTTTGCTGTTTCTTGGGTCTGTGATCCTGCTCCCCACCCCACCCTGATGGGTTAGCTCATCCTCCTCCTGGGGGGCTTGGGGAATGTTGACTGGGAAGAGACACAAAGGAACCTTCTGGAAAGTTCTATGTCGGTATTGCCCAATAGAAATATAATGCAAGCCGCATACACTATTTTAAATTTTCTAGTAGCCACATTAAAACAGTAAAGAGAAACAGGTCAAGTTAAATTGAATAATGTTTTCTTTAATTCAACATATCTAAAATATTATTGCAACAGGTGCTCAATATAAAATATTATTAATGAGCTATTTTACATTTTTTTCATAGTAAATCTTAGAAATCCTGTGTGTATTTTATGCTTACAGTGCATCTCAATCTGGACAAGCCACTTTTAAGAGCTCAGTAACCACTTGTGGCTAGGGGCTAAGGCACCGGACAGCGCGGGTCTCTATCGCCATTTGAGTAGCAGTAATAGTTACATGGTATAGACATATGTAAACATATGGCTAGCTCTGTCTTAAGGATTTGTGCATTTCACTGTATGTAAGTTACTCTTCAATTAAAAGTTGTAAAAAATACTCTTGAGGGCTCTGCTCAAATGCCACCTGTGTTTTCCTGAACCCACCCTGGGTTGAAATTATTTATTATTAATTAATTATTAATAGCTACCTTGGTTATACTGTGCTCCTTTTGTATTTATTCCCTCCTCATACTATAGCTGGTTGTTTCTATGTCTCACCTGCTTAATTATAAGTGCCATATGGTGAAGACCATGGTTTGTTCCTTTTTTAATTCCCCAAAGGGCCGCTGGCTGCATAGATGCGAAATAAGCAGGCATGGTTGAGTCTAATCCCCACTCGTTGTAAGCCCTCACTGGGCGCGCTACAGATGGGCTGATCATTCGATTCTGTTTCTCAGTCCTATTCCAGATGTCTGCAAAGGAGAGGGAGAGGAAGAGGAGGAGGAAGATGGCACGGAGCTTTGTCTGCCAGCCACCCCGAAGAACTGCCTTCCTCGCCGGGGCATCAGCGTCCTGGAGAAGCTGATCAAAACGTGCCCGGTGTGGCTGCAGCTAGGTCTGGGCTGCGCAGAGGCGGCCAGGATCCTGCGCCGGGAGGCGGCCGGGGTGAGTCCGGGGTCTCTCCCCCTCACACCTGGGGGCTGGCGCAGCTGCGCTGTGCTCCACGCGTGCCTGGGCTCCCGCATGGGGGCAGCTGCCACCCGTTGCTTGCCTTTCAGAACGGAAGTTGATCAGCTTTTCGACCCCAGTGTTTTCCAGAACTCAAGAGTGGGAGGCCGGTGGGAGGCCTGGTTTCTGCTTTGGGGAGAGCAGGCAGCGGGTGGCTGGCGTGGGCTCTCTGGGCATTTGGGCATCCGAGAGGCAGGCCTGAGGGGTCAGGAGTGCCACGCTGGCCTGCTGTGACCTCGAGAGCTCAGCCAGGCATCCCGGGACTAGAGAGTAGCAGAACCAGAGTAAAAATGGTTCTACCCTCCGTTGCACGTAGGAAGGGGCTGGGTGGTGGAGTCCAGAGATGTTCTGGAGTCAAGCTCTGTGAGTTGTGCAAATGGCTTAGACTTGCTAAGCCTCACTTTTGTCACTTTGAACAGGGGACATGAACACCCCTCCAGGGCTGTGTTCCTGTCACGTGGAAGGATAGAGATGGTAGATAGATGATAGATGGATGCATGGATGGACAGACAGACGGACAGATGACAGGTGACGAAATGTGAGTCAGAGCCCATCATTTGCTATTTCGCCTCCCACACACATTTCTCTTACATACTGCTTACTTTTTTAAAAAAATTTAATTTGTTTAATTATAAAAGTGATACACATATGTGTTCATTATCTTACAAAAACCAAGCTGGACAGAAGTGAATAAAGTAAAAAGCAAAATGTCTCACGAAGATCTTTCCCACCTACTCTAACCAACTCACTCTTCAGAAAGCTTTTTTTTAATTGAGGTGAAATTCACATAATATGAAATGAGCCATTTTAAAGTGTACAATCCAGTGACATTTAGTACATTCACAATATTGTACAACTCTCCACCTCTACCTACTTCCAAAACATTTTCATCACCCCAAAATGAAGTCCCAAACTCATTAAGCGTTACTCCCATCCCCTACCCCAGCCACCGGGAACCACCACTCTGCTCCCAGGAGTCATTTTCCCTGCAGATTCCCAGCCCTGTCATGGCAGGGGTTCACTCGCTAAGTCCCCACCGTGTTCCAAGTTCTTCACGGGAATTTGCCCATTTATCCTCACAGTAGCCCCGAGAGGCAGGTGTTGTTTCTCTGCCCATTTTACGGGTAAGGTAACTGCAATACGAAGACATCGAGTGCCCTTCCCTCGGGGACACAGGGAGGAAGGGCAGAGCTGGGATTTGAACCCAGGCAGTCTGGGTGCCCCTGTGCTGTGTTGCACACACAACCTTCAATGGCACAGATAGGCTCGTGTCTCCCCAGCTGACAGGCACTTTTGCTGGTCTCACCTTTGGCTTGTAGGGCTCGTCTGATAATAGCCCAAACGTGTAAATACCTGTGGCTCAGTTGGCGAGTGGACTCATTCACCCCAGACTAGGTAAAATCCATCAAGCCAGCATTTGTATGTGCGAATTGGAATTGCTAGAACTCAGGAACCCTCCTGCAGAGCCCCAAACTTGCCCTGCCACAGAGGTCCCTGGCACAGGGAGTGGGGACTGTGGAGGCGGGAAGGCAATCGGTGTCCCCTCGAGGCCAGGGACACCCTCCCCAGGGAGAGCGAGGCAGGCGCTCCAGGCCAGCAGCCCCCTCAGCGCCCAGGTCAGCCTGGAGTCTGCGGATGCCGGTTTTCCTGGAGGGATGAGCGCGAAGGGGCTGGGAGGGGAGGAGGCAGGGAGAGTATAGTGCCCGAGAGAACAGCATCTATTGTTTTATTCCTCCCCACTGAAACGTTTCCAGCTTCGAAGTGACCAAGGGCTTCAGATGATGAAACTGGGTAGAAAATAAACTCAGAACTCGTGCCGGCAGGTGGCCCAGCGTCCATGCCCAGGCCGAGACCCCGGCCAGACATGCACTCCCCAGTAGGTTCTGAGGGTTATCGTCCCACCCTTGCTGGGAGGATGCAGCTCAAAGCCAGCCCAAGGGGCAAGTGTTTGATGGCTGAGGGATGGCCATTGTCTGGATTTTTCTTGGTCAGGAGGAGGGGTGTGTGGAGGTGGGGATGGACCAGACAGTGAGGGGCAGTCCCAGGAGAAGGCAGGTGAGTCTCCAGGGCAAGCTGGGCGGGACAGAAGTCATGACTACTTTGTCAAAAGATTCAGTCCTCTCTTCAGAAAGTTTGAAAAAAGCACAACTAAAAATAACAATAGAGGTTCTATCTGGAGGATGCTGATTAATGCCAAGCCCTGTACTTTACAGGTAGCGTCTTGCAGTAATCCTCCACGGTGGACTCTGCTGTTACACCATTTTACAGATAGCGAAACTGAGGCTAAGAGGAGTGCTTCAGTTTGGGTTTCCCCAGAAGCAGACCCGGAGACAAGGATTTGAGTGCTACTGGTTTATTTGGGAGGTGATCCCAGGAAGTACCAGTAGGGGAACTGAGTCAGGTGAGGGGAAAGTAGCCAATAAAAGGGACATCATCATGCAAGTTCCCCCTGGGGCAACCGAGCCGACTCCAGCTGGGGAGCTCTGAGAGGTGGGGTCTCTCACACACTTCCCGGGGTTATCCCACCCCCGGGGGCGAGGGAGCTGAGTATCACAACTCCTGACAGTCCCGGGTTAAAGCCCGTGGGTCTGAGGATTCATTTTCCAGCCCCTTCTCTCTGCGTTGAGTGGGAGATCTGGCTCTTGCCAGAAACAGCCCTGGGTGGAGAGATGCAGAGCTGGCTATGGGTCCCAGGGCTGGAGTCCACTGAAAACACAGGGCCCGGGCGATGGGCGGGCACCTGCAGCACCGACCCCTGGAGTGAGGCAACTTGCCCAGGGAGTGACAGGGCCGAGGTCTGAACCTACCTAGACCACGCACACCCTGCCCCAAGTAAGTAGCAGGAGAGAAATAGACATACGAGTAATTTTCCAAGGTCAACCAGTACTGGATGGGTTTAGATATAAGGCATGTTTGTAGAGATGGGTGTAAGATATGATCTTACCACTGTCCTCTTAGGGATCTGGTAGGGGCTCCACACACAGATATGAACCATAAAGGCATGAGGAGGGGGTATCTAAGTGCTCTGTGAAAGGCAGGGCAGCGAGTTACTTGGAGGAGGGAGAGAGCACATCCAGATGGGGTGATCTGGGCAGACTTCCTGGAGGAGGCAGACACTGAGCTGGGCCATGCAGGATGGACGGGCAGGATGAGATGGGGGAGCTGAGAGGATCTGTTGGGGAATGGGTGGGTGATGTAGGGTGAGGCCCCAAGGTGGGCATGAGCCTAGCTGGGCACTCGGGGATGGAAGGCAGCATGGCTGGAGGGATTGGAGCTGGCCTGAGCCCCTGGAGAGCAGGACCACGTCACATTCATCTACCTTGTGACTCCATGTCTGACTCCAGCCCGGGTGCAGAATGGGCCTGGCTCTGATTGTTCACTGGAGCAAATAAATGAAGGACGGCAGGGCAAATGGGTCTGGGCTCCCCTTCACCCCAGGCGGGGGCAGGTACCCAGGTAGCTGAGGCCCCGAGAACTCTTCTTTAGCTCAGAGGCTGAGTACAAAAGAGCTGAGACCGCAGGTAACTGCACTATAGGAGGTCAGCCACTCCTGCCCACTCACTGCCCCCTTTGGAGGCGCAGGGCTGCGTCAGCCCCGAGGACGACGGGGTGGAGGGGATGTGCCTTCCGTTGCCTTTCTGCCCTCTGCCCTGATGCCCCACTCCTGCCCGTGCACGTCTGTATTTTCAAGCAGAAGCAAAGCCCTCAGGTCGTGCCCTGGTACAAAGATTGGCCATCTTTTACCTGAGTTACTATATGCATGACCTCCTTTGACCCTCACGATGATTTCTGTCGGGTAGGCGTTATTAGTGTCCCGTTTCCAGATGAGGAAACGGAGGCACAGAGAAGTTGACTCACTTGCCTGAGGTCACACAGTTAGTAGGAACAGAGTCTTCCTGGTATGATCTTTAGGGAGGCTGGCAAGGCCCTTTGCCATGCAATAGCGCTCCCACAGAACTCTCTGAAATTCCACCAGTGCAATGATGTCATCTTCTTTTTTAAGCTACAGACACCATGGGTGGTCTCCAGACTGTGGGCGCTCAAAGGGTCTACAGGGACCACCTGGGCCCACCCCTCCTGGCACCCATGAGAGGCAGCGCTTCATCACGTCTGCGGCCAGTGGTCAGGAGGCTGGGGATCCAGCCCCTTTGTCCCAAATATCTGTATGACCTTGTCCACATCCCACCCCCACCCCCTACCTGCCTCCCCTCCCTGCAGCCCGCTTCTCTGATAAGGTGCTGGGAACATATTGGCCTGTTTTTTGATTTGTGTGTATCCAGAAACAAGACAATCAAAAGCCTCCTTTATTTATTCTGCACTCAAACTGGTTTTTGCATTTTAAAATAGTTTTAGATTTACAGAAAAGTTGCAAAGATAGTACAGAGAATTCCCACATACATACTCCACGCTCAGTTTCTCCTACTGTTAACATTTCACATTCGTGTGGTGCGTTTGCCGCAATTAATGATCTAGTCTTGATTCCTTAGAGTGAACTAAAACCCGTACTTTGGTTTTTTGTTTTTTTTTTTGAGACAGAATCTCACTGTGTTGCCCGGGCTAGAGTGCCATGGCGTCAGCCTAGCTCACAGCAACCTCAAATTCCTGGGCTCAATCGATCCTCCTGCCTCAGCCTCCTGAGTAGCTGGGATTACAGGCATGAGCCACCATGCCCGGCTAATTTTTTCTATATATTTTTAGCTGTCCAATTAATTTCTTTCTAATTTTAGTAGAGACGGGGTCTCGCTCTTGCTCAGGCTGGTCTCGAACTCCTGAGCTCAGACAATCCGCCCACCTCGGCCTCCCAGAGTGCTAGGATTACAGGCATGAGCCACCGCGCCCGGCCTAAAACCCGTTCTTTGTTGACATTTCCTTAGCTTACACCTCTAGTTCCGGGATCCCATCCAGGATATACCACATGACATTTAGTCGTCATGTCT